TTTTAAATATGATTTATTGGATATTCATTTGGTTGTAGAAATTTTCTTAAATTTGTATAAATAATTTGTGGATTCTAAAATTCACATTTTACGTCATAAACTTCCGTTTTTATTTAAATACTCTGATTTTTCATTATTGCAGAAATATTAACTTGAGATTTGTTGAAAATGTTTTAATACATTTGAAAAATGTGTAGATTTAAAGGTTTTATTTTGTTGCTTTATAAGCTAGTACTATCAAAACTTAACAAGTTGTAAAAACCAAAGCTAGACATCGACTCGAAAATTCCCAAATTTTATATGAAAAAAATATCATAAAATCAATTTTGAATCCTTTAAAATTCAAATTAACTTCGGATTCTTGTTAAACATCTTTTAAGATCAACCGTTAGAACCCCAAAAAACCCATCATCAAAAGATTATATCATCACAAATTAAAAAGATCAATATTTCTGGAATTTAACCAAAATCATTTAAAGATGAATAATATAAATATTCCCAAGAATTCTCAAATTAAACAACAATAAAGCAACAAATTCTTAAAAAGAGCAGCTTTTCTATGAATTCTAATACACAATTTAGCTTCAAAATAGTTATAAGCTGTAGAAAATAATATGTCAAAAATAAAATATCAACACCATTTCTTTGACATAATAACACTTTCATTCAAATATTCCACTCATCTCTCAAGAATTCCTTCACAACCATAAGTGGAAAATGCGTTTACGTCACAAAAATCCTTAGTTGTTATAGCAATTCCATAACTTGACTGGAAAAGTAATAATAAAAGCTATAAGAAGACGATTGTGATGAAAAAGTTTTATCATTGTTATATGCTTTGGTATTTTTTGATTATGTAAAGACATGAAAATTTTTTTCTTGGGAAAATGTTTCTATTGACTTTGTGGAGAATTTAATTTTTTTCGATCCGATTACTGAAATTCCAGAACATTTGACGATATGCTTATCATCTGGTGAGGGTTGAGCCTTTTTTCATGGAAAACAATTGTGTGCATTAATGGATATGAGTTCTAAGTTAAAAAAATTTGAATCACGTTTGTCAAATATGTCCTTCGAGGACCTGCTTTGTGATGAGAAATTTATCATTCACAAAACGATTATTTGTTCAAATAGGAAGGTCATTTAGTTATGCAACGAGATGAAAATAATCTATTCTGAATAAAAGCCGATTCATAAGAAATTCCAATTTCTAAAGAAACCTTTGAGAAGCTCCTTCATAGAACATTTAAAGTTGTGAATTATTTAACCTCACACTGAGCTGTTAACTTATTAAGCTATGCAGAGGATGTCTTTTTTCGCTACTACAAATTTTGTGTGAAAAAAATTCCAATTTTTTAATGTTACAAAATTCTTGATACCCCCTCGACCCCCCTCAAGATCCTTTCTAAAAAGCGAACTTAATATACGAACGACTCCCAGATCAGTTCATGATTTTTCATTTCACTGAAAGTTCCTATTATATAATTTCTTTTATACTTTTATAGCTATTCATAGGCACGACGCAAAAATATGTAAAATACTGTACAGCTTTAAAATAATTTTTAAGGAAGAAACAATATTGACATGATCTCAAAACTTGATACATTTCAGGATGATGAGAGCAAGAGAACTCACATTATACACATTTTTGAATATAGAAATTTTAGGCGACCCTGTATCACATAAAGTCATAATATTATGAACGGTTAGATAATTGAATTTCTTCCTATCTTGATTTTATTTGCTGAATTTAACATGCGTATATGTGTCAGTTCTGTAAATTCAAACCATTCGGATGAAGAGTTTACATTTCCAAATATCAAATTATTTACACAGTAACAATTTTGAGGTTAGATTGAATCTATGAACAATCTCATTTTATGGCTCTGTTAAGAGAAACGAGTAATATCAAAAGGAAGCTATCACTGTGTGAACAAACATTTTTGCGCTGTTGATTCTTAACAATTCAGTGCTAAAATTACAAATAGAAAGCAAAATTTATTCTCATATAATAATCGTTGCATATCACTGCTTAATTGATTCTATCCGAATGGCACAAGTTGGATAATTTATCAGAAATCCGGCACCAAGCCGGTGTGACTTTGAGAGTTGTGTCAGCTTCGCGCCAGATTTATATTCGATTAACCGACTTGTGCTTTTCGGGCTAGTCAGGAATATATCGAAATTAAGGAGACCATTGATAAAGTGTAGCCGCATTTATTCAGCTCGTGTTGAGGCTAGAATTCTCTCAACCATCGATAGTAATTGTATTAAATTGCTTTTAATATTCAACAATGTCTAACTCAGTTTTCTACAAAACTTTTTAAACAACAAAAGGTAAAAACTGCTTCCTTTGTTCCAAGAAAACTTGTGCGCTGCGTATTTCCTGTTGATTATTGTTTCTGTGAGCTTTCTAATTTTAGAAGTCACGTTAGAACAAGAAGTCAACATTAAGTCAAAATTTATATGAAAAATCTGACCATTATTTTTTTATCAAGTGAAATAGGAAGCTAGTGTGCTTATTCTAATTTCCTAGACACAAATCCGGCATGTTGCTTCATTTATTTTTGACATCCAATCTTCAGTTTTGCTTACAAAATCTATGGCTTTGATTGTATTTAAAAGGTTCAACTCAGTCATCCAAAATGAGCAAAAATATGACAGAATATGTCAAAACCAGCATTCTATTAATAGGAATAGAAATAAACTATATCAGCATGTTGTAGACCGATAACATGTACGAATGATATTTATATCAATTATATTTCCTTTGACATTCAGGCTTCATCTGCATATATACACGAACTCGAAATTAATTTTCTACCTAATGTCGTCGTCGACACCAATAACTAGTGATAGCATCAATGAAACAGTATCATAAGCATTGAAAAAATGAAAGCACTCGTTTCTCTCCATTAACTTTACTGCTATCAGCCTGGTCTTTGGAGAAATTTTTAAATAATTGATTTTTTATGGTGTCTCGTACAGTTTGTGTGACATTTGTGTTTTCGTTTCTACGTCTATAGTAGCTTGCTCTTTTCTATATCTTTCCAAATGTAAAAAAAAACTCAAAGTATTCCTACACAATATCTTTATGAAAGCTCCCATTTACTATGATAGACTGACTGGATATTACACATAATATCCTCTTCATGTTTTATTCAAAAATGAATTTTAAATGAATAAAAAGCATTTTGACAAGCGCTTGACATTGTCATGCAAAAGATAATTTCCTTTTTATAAACCATCCTAATGAAAATTCTCACGAACTTTTTCCACATAATTCGTCCTTACAAGGACATAATTTCCTCTTCAAAATCACAATGTTTATTCTGACCCAACGTTTATTCCACTTACTTCCTTTTCAATTTAAGAAGATTTAATATATTGTAAAGGAATTTTCAAGTACACAGATAAAGCGCAATTTCTATTGTGTATTTGAATTGAATCAGAATGGTTCAAGTTTAGATTTAACATGCTAAATTGAAAACTAAAGCGTACATGATTATTTGAGGAAATCTTTCTTTATCAGGAGATTCCTAAAACGACATGTTGATTTGTCAAAACTATCAATTCGCTTACTCTACTGTTTCTTTATTCAGTCCTTATTCCACCAATAAGGTATTTTATCAGTTTTAGTTACTCAAAACTGTGCCTAAGGCCGAGCACTTCAAGAGAACCAAGGAGTTGTGTTGGTCTGGATGTTTACTGGATCTTGTGATTAAGTTTTTAAAATTTCTTATTTCTTAATATATCGTATAATAATCAAACACAAATGTATAAAGTAGAGTATATCCAACAATGTAAATAGGGCTCGTAGATTTTTTAAGGATTTTTGCTTAACAGAAAAAATAATTTGAATTTTTCACTAATACTTTCATACAAAACATGAAAAGTTAAATTCTCAAAATTCTTAATTATTCAATCATTAATCCCAAATATTATGATTTGAATACGAAAAGTAGATGATGCATTAGCTGTTCCAACTATTTTAAGACTTTTTACATCATTATTGAGTGATATTTTCGTGACTTTTCAAATTTCTTTTTCGATTTTGTTTGTAAACAAACAAATTAAAACCGAAAAAATTCAAAACAGTTAAAACCGTTGAAAATTTTTTAACTTAATTTTGTCGATTTGGGTATGTTAATGCAGAAATTTAAAATTTTTTATAAACTCGAAACGAACAGAATTGAATTTCGGACCTAAAAAAATACATTCGGAGATATATCAATAAACAATAATGAAGATAAAGCAAAATTTCCAAAAATTGTACGTGAGTGACGCTCAGTCAAAGTGATTTTTTCGAGTAACTGTAAACTTTCATGAAGTCCATTGTACAACAATAGATGGGGATTTTAATTCCTTTTTCAAAAAAGTAACTCTTAAGTTTGTCACTTTTAAGGATATATATATATATTAGACAGACATGCCTAGTCCTTCAAAGCATTGATTTATTGCTAACATTATAAGCAAAACATAGACATGCATTCAATTAACAATGCCGTTTAAAAATCATTCAATTATTAAGTGACATTGAGTAAATCTTTCAAGCTTTCGCACGAGCCAAAATGATCACAAAAGCACATCAACTTTATGGGGAAAAAAAATCACTGAAAATTCTATCATTAATATTTTCATTCTTTTTTCTTTCATTCTTTTCTAGTACGTACAATGAAGAGAAATGCCAACAAATATGAAAAATGAAGTGAATCAATTATGAAAGAAAAGGAGATTGACAGCTTTAACTTTAAGGACATAAAGTCGATATAGAAGTGAAGTTGAAAGAAAAAAATATTATTTTACATGAATGAACTGGAAATTTAACTATATGAATATGTGAATCAAACTAATAGATATGTTGAATAGGACTTGTCATCGAACATTACGTTATAGTTTGTGCTTTCTTCTATCTCTATGTAATTCAATTTAAATCGAAACGTAACAATAAATTACCAAGATAAAAAAAAAATTGTTATTTTATAAGGAAAAGTGGGGGTAAAGAAAGATGATGAAAAAAATGATTGTACCAATTGAAACTGCACAATTTTACACAAGTTCAATGGGAAATTATGGTTCAACTGTCGAGCAAGATCACACAATGTTGATGGCATTGAATTTAACCAACGATGAACTTTGTGTTCAATTGAGGGAGAATCTAACTGGATTGCAGCAGAATCAAATTGATTGGGCATCATACGGTTGTGATCATGCACCGCATTTGACAGATAAAATGATTGTAAAAGTGATTGTACTTAGCCTTATGGGATTTGCGTCGCTAATCGGTAATGTTGCAACAATTTGGAACATTCAAAAGAATCGTGCCACACGAAGAGCTTTAAGACACAGCTGTAGTGCCATATATGCTCTTATTCTTCATCTTTCTGTTGCTGACATTCTTGTAACATTTTTCTGTATCATTGGAGAGGCACTATGGAGCTATACAGTTGAATGGCTTGCGGGAGATGTTGCTTGTAAATTAGTTAAAATATTTCAAATGTTTGCATTATATTTATCAACAAATGTTCTGGTGCTTATTGGGATCGATCGATGGGTAGCTGTGAAATATCCTATGAAATCAAAATTTCTTAATACAGCTCGTTTTGTAGTAAGTATTGCATTTATTATTTCATTTTTAAGTTGTGACTGAGTTCCTGCACTAAATAGCACCTCTTGTATCTCATGACAGACCCAATTATATTCATTTCTATCAGATAAAGAAGTTTAATGTTCTCGATACCCAACCTAGAAGAGTCTCTGTAAATGTCTTAAGCTTAGTTCCCCAAATATTTTGGACATTTCCCTATAGTTCAAAAACTTCTTACACACGTGCAACAAAGTCAATTTATTTTTATGATTATTATAACTGCTATTGTTGTTGACATAGAATTTTCCTTTTACTTACTTTCATTACAGGTTTTTATATATGTGCTGTCTTTCATCCTTAGTCTGCCTCAGGTGAGTCGTTTGTTGCTTTTATGTTTATCTACTTTATAGCGTTTATTTTTCTAAAACTCTACTTTTATGAATCAAACAAGTGAGAATGAAAATTTTAAAAATTAATGTTTACTATGCGCATTTGCTTGATCTAATTTTGGAAACTTCATTCTCAATCTATTATAGCTTTCTGATCTTAATCTCATTAGATAATTTAAAATGAGCTCAAATTCTTGAAAATTCCACATTTGTTATTGAAAAAAATCATCTTTCGCTTGCGTACTTGAGATGTCAAGAAGAATATTTATAACAAACAAAGATTTTCTGCAGCAACAAAAGTTGAAATCTTTTTACGAAATATGCGAAAGTCTCGTGTTTCGTTGTTTATCATTTGCAGAATCAACATACTTATCTTAATATGAAATTTTATGACATTAAGAATTAGGAAAGAATAAAGAAAATTAAGAGTGGCAACAGCTTTTATTCTTATGAATTTAATGCTTTACTTAAAAGTGACGTTCTTTGAAAATTAAGATTTCAGACACCGCTACACTTTTGCTTTCAATCAGGCCTCATGCTTACTTAATTAAAATCTTTACGTCATTTATGAATCACCCTAAATGTTGATTGTCAGAAGCACAAAATTCTATTAAAATTTCGTCATTTCAATTAATACTAAGTATAGCGACAAATGTTTACAAATCACGTCAAACGAGTGTTAGTAGATATAAACGAATTGCCTACAGCATTTTAAATTAAGCTCATAATCAACATATTAACGTATGCTTGATTATGTTTAAGCTCAAATCTTGACAGAAGAGAAGATTTTCTTCTAAAAATAATATTTGAAGCATAAGCAATCACGTTATAGCTATAAAAAGGATTCAATGGCTTATTCGAAAAATATGTAAAATTTTATTTGCAAATGCTTCATTGAATTCAAAAGAGATAAAGATTTCTCGTGAATTTTATGCTAAAGTGGGTAATACTGAAGCTTCCTAGAAGATTTTTTCATATATTTTGATTACCATTAGTTGAATGACTGCCAGTTGCAAACTAGATCTCAACGTGAACAGACGTGTTTACAAATCGCTCCGCAAATTATTCAAAAATCTCAAAAGAAACAAAACAGAGACTACCTGAGAAGCTTTTTGTTTGCAAAAAGTTTCAAAATCTCAGTTTGATTCTCAAAACATCAAAATGGTAGCATCACCAAAAACTACCAACAACGAAGAAAATCTTTCTCAAAATCAGCATGGACTTAATAGTTCTCAACAACAACACTCATCTTCAGTGACAATTCTCAATATTGAGGAAATTTTCAGTGAAGATGTTTCACAAGCAGCCGACATTGAGATGACAAATCTCAAACCAAAAAAACAAATATCAATAAAGAAGTTTCTCAATGAAGCAAGTAAAGCAGAAAAACGCCCTCGAGAAGTGATAGTTCACAACGCTCTTTTAAAAAGAGTAGCAAACGAAAGCAAACCAAAAGATGGAAACAAACCACTGTTCGTACTCCCACCAATGAAGAAAGCTTCGTCTTCTGGAAAACCGTATCTATTTGGTTCACCAGAACAGGAGAAAAAAAGATCGACAAATTCTTCGTACTGGGGAGAAAACAGCAAAACATCAGAGCAACAAAAGACAATTTCCGTAAACACGGAAAGCAACAACAACAAATCTCAACAAAAATCAAAACCACCTCCAATTGTCATCAGCACAGGAGGAGCTGGTGAAATCAAGAGATTGACGAATGAAATAAACAATCAACCTGGAAGTTTCTTAATTGAGACCAAAAAGGGCAAACAAGGAACAAAAACGGTAACAACGGAGAGTTGGGATTACTACGAGAAATTCATCCAACTACTCAAAGACAAAAAGCATCACTTCCACACATACTCCAGCCAAGAACCACTGAAGAAGTACGTACTCTATGGACTCCCAGATATGGAAATCAGTGAGTTGGAGAAGGAACTTCAAACCGTAAAAATCACACCAGTAAAAATTGTCAAAATGACAATGAAACACAAAAGACACGAACAAGACGACGACCAGAACTACCTCGTGTACTTCAAAAAAGCTGTAGAACAAGGTGGAAATTTCCTGGAATTCCTCAGAAAAATCAAAATTGTCAGCAGTTTCAAAATTAAATGGGCTGACTACAAAAATAGACAAGCTGGTCCATCTCAATGTTCGAAATGTCTGCAGTTTGGTCATGGACAAAACGGTTGTAACAAACCGTCCGTTTGCTTCAGATGCTCTGAGCAACATGACTCGAAAACGTGCCAGTACATATCGAAAGAGACCAACAAGGTTCCACTCGGAAAACTCAAATGTTTCTTCTGCGGTGAAAAACATACAGCAATTTTCACAGGTTGTAAAACCAGACAAGAAATAATTGAAAAATGGAAATCAAAATCACAGAATGGAAACAACCAAAATCAAAACAAAACAGCAGGCCATTATTCATATGGACAACGGAGAAACAATCCTCCAACACCGCATCGTCCTGAGAGATCAACCAGAAACGTCCAACATGCACCAAAACCTCAATGGAGAAAGGAGTATATGGAACCATCAACATCTGGTACACAAAAGCCTGTTCATCAAAAACAAGTTCCAGTCAACCACAAACCAAGGAACACAAATCCTCCTCCAAATCACAAACCCTCAAATCAGGGAAATAAAAATAACTTGAACAACCAACAAAACAATAAAGAAAGAGGAAAACATTGGAAAAAGAATCAAAGAAAAAAGCAAAACGAGCGCATTAATAACAATCAACATCAAAAACCAAAGCAAGATGTTGAGCTTATGGACTCAGAAGACATCAGTGCAACAAGTCAGACCTCGAATGAAGTCTTCCCAGAACCTTCATTCAGTGTTGAGGTAGTGAATCGAAACATAACAACTAATCAACAAGCTCAAAGCACCAGCACAAGAGATAAAAACATCTCAGAAATAGAGGAATCAAAGTGCAAGTACCTTATCAGCGAGCTTCTCAAATTAATCGCCAAAAATCCAGAGTTCATCGACGAAATACTCCAAGCAATCGGCTCAAGTGCCAAAAACACCGCATACAATAATGGATTGTAGACAACAAAGTATCAACGTCCTCTACTGGAATGCTAACGGCCTCACTGACAAAATGTTAGCATTTCTCGACTACCTAAGCAAGCAAAACGTCGATGTTGCTTGCATCTCAGAAACATTCCTAAAACCAAACTCAAAAATTGACTCGCATCCAGACTACGTAATTCATCGATTGGATCGCGTGGATAGACCAAAGGGTGGTGTTGCAATCATCGTCAAAAGAAATCTAAAACATCAGCTTCAACCAAGCTACAACACAAAACTAATGGAATGCATTGGAATCAAAGTCTTCATCAATGACACGGATAGTTGTCACATCCTCTCAGTCTATCTCCCAGGAGGAAGCAAAGGAGGGGAAATAGATCTACACCTGAGAGATGACATCAACAAAATAACAAATCTGAGAGGAAATTACTACATCTGTGGAGACTTCAATGCAAAACATCGAGAATGGAACTGCAACGTTGCAAATAAATCAGGAAATATTCTTCAGGAAATGTCAGGAGAGTTCATGATCTACTTTCCTGACTCGCCAACGTACTACCCAGAAGATCGAAACAAATCAGTGTCAACAATTGACCTGATGCTCTCGAATTCCAACCTCGAAACAACAGAACTTCAATGCACAGAGGCAATGAGTGATCACTGCGCTGTGTATTTCCAAATCAAAACATCAAAAATCGACAGAACTGAAAATACAGTCTACAGATATGACTACAAAAACGCAAACTGGAAAAAGTTCAAAGCACAAATTTCACGCCGCATTGAAGACAACATTGGAGAAAATTCTTGCAATACAACAGATGAGATCGAGAATCACATTAAGATTCTCTCTGAACTCATCATGGAAGCGAGGAACTCAAGTGTAAAAATGAAAAAGATCAAGTTCGAATCAACTAAACTCACACCGGAGATTAAAGATCTAATCAACACAAAAAGGAGTCTTCGTCGAAGATGGCAGAGAAGCAGAGATAATCAACTCAAATCTGAATTGAATTATCTGCAGAGAGTCATCAATGAGAAAATTAAAGAACTCAAAAACAAAAACTGGAATAAGCGTCTCTCAGAGATTCAACCGTCAAACCAAACAGTTTGGAGAATAGCAAAATTTTGCAAAAAAGGTTCAAAAACAATGCCTCCATTGACAAATCTGGGTAAAACGTTCATCACCAACAAAGAAAAAGCCAGCGCACTCAGCGAGTATTTTCGTGAAGCTCACGAAAATCCTCTGGAACAAAACGATCCACAACATACACAGGAAGTAAACAACACAGTCAAAGAAGCATTGGAACAAGACAATGATGAGAATCCAGAACTAACAGATGTAAACGAAATCGTGAGCATCATAAGAAATCTGAAAAATCCAAAAGCTCCGGGACTAGATGAAGTCAACAACATACTCATCAAAAATCTTCCTGAAAAAGGTTTCGAATACTTGAAATTCATCATCAATTCGTGTCTGAAACTCAACCACTTCCCCAAAGTTTGGAAACATGCAAAAGTGATTCCTATTCCAAAACCTGGAAAACCAGCAAATGAGCTAAGCAGCTACAGGCCAATAAGTCTACTCAGCTCAATAAGCAAAATACTGGAGAGAGTATTACTGAATAGAATCAACGATCATCTTGAGGATAACAACATCATCCCAAACCAGCAGTGCGGCTTCCGGACTGGAAGATCAACATCTCACCAGCTCATCAAAGTGATCAAATCAGCAAAAGAAAACTTAAACAACAAAAAGTCAACAGGCATGATCTTCCTGGATGTAGAAAAAGCATTTGACAGAGTCTGGCATAACGGACTCTTGTACAAAATGCTCAAACTGAGATTTCCACTGCCACTTATAAAAACTGTAAGATCTTTCCTCAGTGAAAGATCTTTCGCAGTTTTTATTAAAGGTCAGTTCTCAGAAATCAAGGTAATCA